AGAACAGAAATCCCAGAAGGCTCCAGTCTGGTAGCCACAGCCAATCCTCAAGGTAGAGGCAGAATGCTGCCTTCCCATTGGCTCCCTCTGCTATACCCAACCCAGGGTATACCTATACCTTAATGTCCAGAACAGAAATCCCAGAAGGCTCCAGCCAGGCAGCACTGGCCAATCCACAGGGCAGAGGCAGAATGCAGTCTTCCCATTGGCTACCTCTGCTATACCCAGGGTATACCTATATCTTAATGTCCAGAACAGAAATCCCAGAAGGCTCCAGCCAGCCAGCCCCGGCCAATCCACAAGGTGGAGGCAGAATGCTGTCCTCCCATTGGTTCCCTCTGCTACACCTTAATGCCCAAGAACTGAACAAATAGGTGACTGTATGTAGTAGATGAGGCAGAAGTTTCTCAACAAAATAATTCTGGAAATTTAAAAACTTACGTAGTTCAAATGTAACAATGTAAATAGGCTCTAAAAATATAAATTCAAATCGATCACATTACCACTTGTTGACACTGTTTTCTGTAAGTTTGAACTTAAAAAAAAAATACCTCTTTTGATTTTTCCTCCTTTGTAAATCTTCCAAATTTTTCTATCATTTCGGCTACAAATATAACATCCATTTTGTCAGAAAAGTTGGCAGCTTCCACGGTGTAAGCCAGGAGCTGACGGGCTGTTGCCACAGCGTTTGTGAGATTGAGGGGCATCTAAGGTTGAAAAGGCAAAAATGATCGACAAAAGGGACATTAGCAAAATGATCAACAGAATCCTGACACTTTAACTTTGCATTTTAACACCTGACAATGAACTGAAAAGCTCTTTCTTATAGAATTATCCAGACCTTTTATGCTTTTTCAGGCCCAAGAAAACTAGAATTTTAATGGCAATGAATTACAGAGAATTTTTTTAAATTTGGAATGGAACACAGTAATAGATAAAAATACATCAAGTTAACCTATTATGCCATCTACCTCCTCTTTGCTTATCCAAATTCTACACATATTTTGATCTCAATTGCTTAATAAAGCCATTTCTGAGTATTCCACCTGGGAGTATAAACCACGTATTTGGCACTCTGGTTTACTGCCATCCATTGCCAGCAATGTTTTATATTTGTTTAGCTATTGGCTCAAACACTGAGCACCAACCATCACAAAAAGGAGATACTAGATGCTAAGGACCAGAAGAAAATATCTTACGCAGGAGCCATCTCCACTTGCCTCCAGTCTGGTCAGGTTTGAAAAGATGCCCAGAAGCAAAGATAAAAGGCTTATGAGTAGTACAAGTGTTCTAAGGGATCGCTTTCAACAGAGGAATTATAAAAGGACCCCAAGAGGTCGGTTTCCACATAGACTTGAAGGATGGCTGGGATTTTGTCCGGTGGATACAGATGATAAAAATACTCAAACTAAGACACAAAGTCAGGCCGTGACTGGAAAGGAAGAGGCCTTGACCACAGGTTAAGACGAGACCTGATCCACAAGACAGATAAGTCAATGGAAGTCAGAGCACCAAGTCCTTTTACTGTACCTAGTACTCTGGAAAAGAATCTTATTTATTTGATTTGAATACCATGTTTTATTCACGACCTGAATAAATGGCAAGATTCTCTACTTACCTGATTAAACATATAAAGAACTCTCGTGACATCATTTGCATATTGACAGCGAGAATAATCATCATCTGCCCAAAAGCCACCTCTGTCACATCTGCGCCAAGCCTTCCTCTCATCCTGCGGGCTTCCGGGATAGATCCCACTGCCGTGGGTGTTCCGAGTGCACTGCAGGTATGCGGTGATGCCCGCCAACGTCCTGGGCCATCTAGAGAGATGGAGACGGAATAGAGCAAGAAAACAGAGGCCCGTCAACTATAACAATAGTGAAGGGACAAGTCTGAGGTCAGGACACGTCAGGTCAGTTCCATCCTATCAACTTGAGTTACTGAAACTGGGTTGCATGAACTTTGTTATTTGAACTGTATTTTTCCAAAACTAGGAATGAAATTGGACGTATTTAATAACCACTAAATTATAATATCAGTCACACCAAACAGACTTCATTACCAAAAACTACATAAATAGATCAGCAATACTAAACTACATCTTGTCAGTGCAGTGGGAGTTTCTCTGTATCGTATCTTCAGGAGTGACAAAAAAATTAACAATTCATTAATCAGTTAAACATCTAGATGTTCCTTTGGTTTTGAAAAATATAAAGCCCTCCAACACTATAAGTAAACCAGAAAATATACCATAGATAGTAAACATATTGGGATTATTTTCAAATTTTGAATATAACAAAATTAACCAATGGTATATATTTCACGTGAAAGCATGCAATATAAATATTATAGACAAATAGTTAATCTACATAAAAGACTTGTTGGTGATAATAAATGTTGATTTCCATATACTCATGTCAAAGATATATACATTTTTTTTTTCCCTCCAGTTTTTGGCCGGGTTTGAACCTGCCACCTCCAGCATATGGGGCTGGCGTCCTACTCCCTTGAGCCACAGGTGCAGCCCAAAGATAATTTTTTTAAGGACAAAAAAATAGCAGTGACAAACTCGCCGAGCTAATGAAGTTACTATTGCTTCTTCACCTGCGATTTGAAAGATTCACACCGAAACACTGGGTTACAGGCA